TTTGTGTCTTTTGGGTAGATACCTAGGAGTGGGATTGCTGGGTCGTAGGGAAGCTCCATGTTAAGCAGTTTGAGGAACCTCCAGTTTTCCATAGTAGTGGTACTAGTTTGCATTCCTACCAGCAGTGTAGGAGAGTTCCTTTTTCTCTACATCCTCGCCAACATTTGTTGTTGGTAGTTGTTTAAAGATTGCCATTCTCACTGAGGTGACCTAGCCTTACTTTTATGGTTTTTTGCCTTGAAAAGTAAAATCATTATTGCCCTCAACTTATTTTAAGCCAGTAATGACCATTGTCGCAATATTATACTAAAGATCATAGTTAGATTTTTTTAAAAAATCTAAATGAAAATGCTACAAATATGTGAGCACTAAGATGATTTTTCACTTTCAAATATACATGGATTCCCATCTGTTTTTAACCAAAATACTTGATTTTTTTATTCTGTCATATTTGGTATTGATATCTTATACTATGGTTCATGACCAGGAAGTTAAATTCACACACTCCAGTCTCATCTGGATGCTAAATGAAATATTATACAATATTACACAGTTCTAGTTTATGAGCATACTTCACTTTAGCTATTACCAAATTAATTATTAATATTATACTCTAGAAGGAGGAAACACTTTGGAATAAGGGAATAGTGGCGATGAAGATGATAGGGAGAGTAACTGCCTCAGGAAAAGGAAAATTAATTGATGCTAAGATATATAACTTGAAAATACATAATAAAATTAGGCTTAATTATGGAGGAAAAGTTACATTTTTATTCTTCATTTATTCACAAATGCTCTACAGTCCTAAATTTCAAGTGAATTAAAACTCATTGCCATCCTGCTTTTATCCAGAATTAATTGCACATTATTGATAAAGGAGCAAAAGGCACTTAAAATAACCAGAAATCCAATGATCTAATCACCATTAATACTATATTAATGTTTTTTCTATAGGCAAGTTAACCGATATCCATGGAAACGCCCTTCAGTATAACAAGGAAGTGAAGCACATGAACTCTGCGGGGGTGCTGGCCACGCTCAGGAATTATGACTACTATGCAAGTCGAGTTCCAGAATCTGTTAAAAATGCCCTTGTTCCATAAAGAACAACCTCACGAGGAGGAACTCAGTTCTCAAATAATACATTTATTGTGTGGAATTAGTCTCCACCTTTATTCATTGCTGATAAGCAATTTATATTTAGTTATTTAGGAGTAGAATATAGGTTTAAGAAACTTATCTTGATAATCATCCAGATCAATTTTGACATCTGGAAAATTTATCGTCACTATCATATGAAATGAAAGGAAGGTTTAGTTTCAACTGACCATCCAGGTTAGTTGTTTAATCAACATTCCTACATATAAACTAAATTACTTTAGCACACAGAACCACAAGTTATCTGACTATTGTTCTTGTTTTTCACAGTAATTTTTAAAGTTTTCCTATTTCAGTTATGAATATAGTAAAATGTCATGTATGTTGATGAAACATTTATGGGGAAAGTTTCTTTATAATAATTTAATTCTAGTTCATGGTATTCACCAGCTTTTTATTATTTTTTAAATATTTGAAAATCATAAATTCTCTATTATGGACATTCTTGCGGTTTCATCACACTGTTTAACTTTTGTAGGAAGTTATGACTTTTATTCCTTCCATGGGAGATGATATATGCTATTACAGTTCTTCTGACATTCTGCCTATTTTATGTCTTTGTCTAATGTTTTAAAATAAATTTCTCTGCTGTTGGATTAAGTATCTGGTTTAAATTAATCATCCCTAAACCCGGCTGCACATACTAATCACTAGAAAACTACACAAAGTACATCAGTTTTTAACTCAGTGATTTTGATTCTCTGTATTTTAAGATGGCTATTCCAGAAAAATTCATACATACAGGTTCATTTGGGGCCTTTTGCCCATAATTCCATCTATCTAATAGATCTCAAACTTTAGATTCTTATACAGGTTTCTCATTATTTCTGAAAATAGATTAGGTAGGTAAATTTTTGGGTTTGGGAATGCTATTCCCATTAATTTACATGGAAAAATCTTTTAGTTTTACCACACTAAAAACATAACCTATTAAATCATACTAAATAGAAACATTCTATTTTCAAATTGCAGGGGAAATCCGTACCCAAAGCCTACTGTGTGATAACACAGTATCTCTGAATGATGTTTTAAAAGCTCTTCTTTCTTGCTACCATTCCTTGAGTTACTTGTATATCCTAAAAGCAATACTATTGGCCACTTTGGAAATCACGTCCTTAATCCATTCACTTCTCTCAGAACAGTTTTCTATTTATTTATTTATTAACGATTTATTTATTTACTCATACAAAACTGGGGTACAAGCCAGAGATGCGGTGGGTGAGAGGATTCACCAGAGACAGAGTGGGGAGCAACACTGGCAGATGAATGAAGTACACTGCTGAGGGGAGCAGCAGGCGGGTCAGGAGAGGTCTGCGTGGCCATGTGGATCTCCTCCGGGGCAGGCGGGGATCAAACTCATGCGGAAATGGCTTAAGCTTCTTAGTGCAGTGCTTTAACCGGCTGCGCCACCAGGGAGGGCCCCAGTTTTCTATTTATAATGGACGAAATCTAAAATTATTTTTTAAGATTCATTTATCTATGGGCCCTCGCGGGTGGCGCGAAGGGTTAAAGTACAGCGTTAAGAAGCGGGGAGGTGACCCCATGGCGCGGCAGACCTCACCAGACTCACCAGATACAGAGTGGGGAACAGAACAGGCAGGTCAACTGAAATACACTCACTGCTGAGGGGAGCAGCGGGCGGGTCAGGAGAGGTCTACTGTGCGATGTGGGTCAGCTCCCTGGCGGGGGATCGAACTACTGGTGTAATGGCTGCGGAGAGGCTCATAGTGCTGGACTTTAACCACTTGCGCCACCAGGGAGACCCTGGACCTATTTTTTACCCAGATGTCTTTTATAGTCAGTTCCTTGGTCTCCTGGAGTATACCTGCTCACAAATCAAACATGTTTAGGAGGAGGAATCACATGATTCTGTGAAAGACACCTGCTTTCCAAGCAAGCGAAGCCAAATCAAGCGGGGCAGTGGCGTTTAGTAACGCCGTTTATAAATACATCCTTTCATTTAATCATTATCTTCACGCATAAAAATGACTTTCAAATATATATTCTCCTTGGGAAGAGGGGAACTCACTAAACAGAAAACACTCTTAAATCCTCCCACTACTCCCACATAAACTTTGGTTTCTGTAAACACGGATCCCAAACAGGTTTCCTTTCCGACTTCACGTAATGATTTTTACAGTTTGCCTTCCTCGCTTTATGAACTATCGTAAAGCTGAACGCCAAACCGCATCTTTCCGTGGCGACTTCAACAGGGGGCGGGGTTGAAGACTCAGGAACCCGCAGGCGCGACGGCGACGGCGCGCGGTGATGACATACGTTGTGGGCGGTGACAGTGGCGGCTACGGCGCAGGGGCGGGGCGAAGGCTGCAGCAGAGTCCGGCGCTTTTACACGTTGCACCTTGTAGCTTTCGGCGTGTTTAGCGTGTTTGAGGCGACCAGGCAAGCGCATTGAGTGGTAGACCGGCTGAACTGGGAAGATGGCGACGCTCTGTCTGACCGTGAATACCGGGGACCCTCCGTTGGGTAAGGAGCCCAGGCCGTGGATCGCTTGCATCAGCCCGGGAGGGTGCGGGGAGGCCAAGGCCGTCGCGTCTGGTTGGCGCAGTGGCGGCCACGTTGGGTGTTTGGCCTGCCCCTGTCCACGGAACTGTAGACGAAGGTTCCGCGCCCCTCGCCTTCTGTGATCTGACAGGTGGAGCTGCTCCCCAAAAGAGTTCGTAGAAATGGCTTTGCAAGACTAAAATACCATTACTTTTGAATCCCCTCTTTAGGGATCTCCCCCCACCCCGTGACTACTATCTTACTTAGCTTTCTTCCTCCTTTCAGAAGAGATCCTCAGTCTACTTGGCTCGACTTTTCTTTACGTCTCTTTGCGTTCAGAGGGAGCAAGGTAGACGATCGTAGTAGCATTTAGTTTTTCAACTGAGGCTGCACTTCTCTTTAATTAAAGGTGGCAGGGTAATTGTCGGAACACCCAGCGCAGTGCGGACTGCACTACTACACGCGCTACGGAGTTAGTAAAACGTCAGTGTGAACGTCGGACTTGTCACTTTCCAGATAGTCTTAGGTCCGTCGATCTGAAAGTGTTTTTTCAGCGTGGCCAACTTTATTGTGGATAACTTAGATTTTCTGCCTTTTTTTTCTTTTAAATTATTTTGGGAAATTGTACAAAGGATTTAAGTAGCTTATTGATCTCGTATTTGTGAACAAGTAAGTATAGTCTACGGTCCCAAAGACTTTTCTAATGTTCCAGAAAGCCCAGAACTTAAGAGACAATTGGCTACACTGGACTGACAAAATGACTCATACTCATAGTATTCTCAATTTTGGTGGAACTGTGAGTCCAGTGAAACATAAAGGACAATTTAATAGCCACTTACAGTATTAGAATGTGATCGTATTCCAGTAACTGGAACTGACCAAGGAACTCTTTAAAAAATGGGTTTAATTCTTGGGCTGGGGAGCTCCCTCCTAATTTTTTAATTCTTTTCAGCTTTTTAAAAAAGATTTATTAATTTTGCATACAAGAACTAGGGTACAGGCCAGAGGTAGGGGTGTGTGTGAGAGGATTCACCAGAGACAGAGTGGGGAGCAGAACAGGCAGATCAACTGAAATAGACTGCTGAGGGGAGCAGCAGGCAGACAGAAAGTCTGCTGGGCCATGTGGGTCTCCTCCCTAGCTGGGAAAGTGGTTAGCTTCATAGTACTGCACTTTATCCTTTGCACCACCATGAAGGCCCTCTTTCTATTTTTTAATTGAATACATTTTGCCTTTTTTTTTTTT